GGGAGGTCTGTTCCCGCTGACTGACAGTAGCTTGGACCAGTTGGTGCTCGGCAAGGCGGTGCGTCGGCCAGTGATCGTAGCCAATCAGAAATCCCGTTGGGAGCGAGCCTCCTGCAGCAGCAATTTGACTTCGACTTCCAGCCGCGCTCCGCCGAGCGACGTCAACGTGGGCCAGTAGCGGCTGGCGGTGGCGCTCCGCCCTCCCGTGGTTAGCGCACCAATCAAAGAGGGGGCGCGTCCGGCGGTGGGTGGGGCAGGCAGACTGGGAACCTCGCCAGAGGGTGGAAGCGTAGGATGGGTGTTGCATTGGAAGAGGCCAGATGGTGGTGACAGCTAGGAAACCCAGAACGGAATGCCAACACTGCCTGGGCATGGAGCTAGAAAGGCATTTGGCTCCATTGCTATTTCTTCGAAAAAGTCACAGGGAAGTGTTCTTTGCAGCTGACCAGGCTTGTGGTATCTTGGGAATGCCGGTTTATTCACTCACCAGGCATTTCTGTGTTTGTGCAGGACCTCTGTTAGGCCAGGCTTTTGCTGGGCACTGGGAATCAAATCCTGACCCCGACAGGTGAGCTGCCCTCGCAGAATTCACAGTATAACAAGGAAGAGGGAGAAACCGACAGGGAAATAGGCACCTAACATGGAAGGGAAGGAAATGAAGGAAAAATGGGAAGTTGAATCTAGATAGAGTTGTTATGTGAGCACTTTATAAACTGGTATTTAAGCTGAGTCTCAGAGTGAGAAGGAAATGCATTTCTCAGCCATGGAGCCAGAAAAATGATGGTCTGGACACAGAGGACAGTGGAACGAAGGTCCTGAGGTGGGACGACCTGGCTGGCGTTTTGGAAGAACTGGATGGCTGCCAGTGTGGCTCTGGCAAAGTGAGAAGAGGAAGAGTCGCTGTAGTGAGCTGGGGGGGGGGGGGCCACTGGCGTCTGCGAGTTTGCATTAATTTTCTGCTCAGTGGGCCCCATTGAGGTATTTTAAGGAAAGGGATGAGATGATCTGGTTTAGACTTTAAATCACTTTGGTTAATGTGTGAGGAGTAAGTAGATTAGACTTTAGGGAGACAGCTAAACAGATTATGGCAGAGAGATTTAAAGTTGGAGATGACATGGATTAAACTATGGTGATACCCCTGGAGATAAGAAAAAGCTGAGAGATTAGAGATTTTAAAGGTAAATGATTAACTTGTTTTGATATTTCAGATATTGTTTCCCGGGACAACTGTTTTGAATCCAGTGTATTTAAGTAATCTATTTAGAGAATGATTCTCACATTGAAGTTTCACAAATTCTAGTCATGCCTTGAAGTTGGGTTAAGATTTAATTTCCATGGGCTTCATGTAATTTTCTTTTTGAAAAGCTTTTCATTAAAATATTATATATAAGGGCCAGCAGCAGGTGGCATGGTGATCAAGGTGTTGTACTCTCACATGGCTGACTGCGGTTCAAGTCCCTGGCAGCTTACTTTCTCACTTTCCCTCTCTGTCTCTGGTGAGCGTGCATGCCCTATGGCAGGTTTAAAAATAATGATGGTAATAAATAAGATAAATAATTATTTTTAAAGAAGAAATATACGTAACGGAAAAGCACACATATCCTAAGTACGTAAAGATCAATGCATTTTCAGTTTTCTGTTGTAGTGACTTGGACAACTTTTGCTTTTAATGGAGCAAAATGGTAGCTGCATTACAATTAAGTTCTTTTTAAATCTGTTCATCAATAATATGGTATCATTTTTCACTTCACTAACATTTGGACCAAAGTTTGGTGCAGATAATGAAGAACTTTGCTTTCATAAATGTGAAAAACATTGGCAATGACAAAAAACTGTTGATGAGAATGGTGTGGTAGGTAAAGTGCTGGACTCCCACATGGCTGACTGCAGTTCAAGTCCTGGGCCCAGTGACTTAAAAATCACAACAAATAAGATAAATAAATACATGTAAAAAAAAAAAAAACCAACTATTTTTTTTCTTTTTTTTTTTTTTTTTGGAGAGGTTTTTGCTATAGGGCGCATGCACTTGCCAGAGAGACAGAGAGAGACAGAGAGACAGAAAGCGAGAAATCACCCGACAAGGGGGGATGGCCATGCTGCAATCCCTTCTCCTCTATTCTCCTCGCAGGATCTTGGCCTCGCACGCACACGCGCCCGGAGTGAGTTTAAGCCACTGGGATCGGGTCTCAAACCGCTGTCGACTACGTGGGACATAGCCATTACGCTAACTGCTGGTCCCAACAAACCAACTATTGATGTGGGAAATTTGAAGCTTGGAAATATAAAATACTTTGAATTGTCCTTGGAGCTTGCATCTTCTTTTTAAGCACTTGCAAACTCCAAGCTCATGACTTTGCTACATCCTTTCCCTATAATAGACTGTAATCCACAGTCCCGAGGTAATCAAAGTCAGTTAGGCTGTCCTGAGAATATACGTATATTGGATTGAAATTGTATTTGAAAACCATACCTTATCATACCTAGCACAGCTAATTAAGAATAAAGCCAGCAGAATTAGGTACTTCTGCTTTTCTTTTCTTTTTTGCATGTGCTTGCTAGAGAGAGAGAGAGAGAGGGAAAATGAGAAATGGCCCCCACAGAGGGGATGGATATGCCACAATTACTTCTCCTTTATTCTCCTCTTGGAATTTTGAGCTTGCACACATGTGCCCTGCATGATTTTCAAGGCACCAAGTCTGGGACTCACACCTCAGTCGCCTACGTGGGAGTCTAGCATCTTAACCACCAAACAATGTGCTGGCCCCTCAATTTATTTTTTGTTAAAAGAAAATTAGAGGTCGCGGTGCCCAATAGGTGGCAGAGTGGTTAAGGCGCTAGACACCCACATGGCTGACTGAGGTTCAAGTTCTGGACACAGCAGCTTGAAATTCACACTGGGCACATGTAGGTGTTTCCAAAATCCCAAGAGAGAATGGAGGAGAAGGGGTTACAGTGTGGCCATCCCTTCTGGGGGGAGATTTCTCACTTTTACTCTCTCTTCTCTCTCTCTGGTGAGCATATGTATCCCATGGCAAAAAAAAAAAAATACAAAACAAAACAACAATTTTAAGTAGAGGTGAATATTCTTGTTTACTCGGAGTCAGTAATTTTCCAGGTAAGTATCTGAATACCACCTCTGGCCTCATGCCTAAAACATGGCCCTCAGTACTAGGGTGTAGTTTTTCAGGGTACAGGGGTCTCTGTCCTGAATTGCTAGCACAAACATCCTTTCTTTGTGTCACCAGGATAACCACCAAAATACTGGCACAAAGAATCTTCAAATCTTGTCCTCACACCAACTTGCAGCAATAATTTTATTTTTAATTACGATTGTTGCTTTTCTCCCTCTCTGAAATTTACCTTCATAACTATGGAGTAAATAAGCTTCATTTCAGTACCAGTGGTACAGAGATTTTAATTATCGTTCCATTTCTGAGTTTTCTACTTTTTAACTCAAGTATTTAATGTCGCTAAGCATGCATTTCTCATATAAAGCTGTTGTGAAGACTACGGTATTTTATAAGTGTATTGTGTAAAAAAAAGATGGTAAACTGGGGCTAGCAGGTGGCGTGGTGATTAGAGCACTGGACTCCCACATGGCGAACCACAGTTTGAGTCCTGGAGCTGGCGGCTTGCTTTCTCAATTTCCCTCTGTCTCTCTCTGGTCAAATTTAAAAATAATGATAAAAATAAAATAA